ACCAATTAGGGAGCTGCTTACAGCTCGTTAATGCATAAATATTCTGTAACCAATCAGGGAGCTGAGTACATTACACCTAGAATTAAAATTATTTAAATAATCATACATAATAAAACCATTTTTCAAAAAATGCACTTTAATTGATTTTAATATTACAGCATAAATAATGTTTAAACATTGATTAAATTTATAATATAAAAACCAATCACTTTTAAGCAAGGTGACGTCACTGATTACATCATCCACAACATAAATTATACAAATATCATAAACAATAAATTTTTATTCAAATAAAAATGCAAAATTAAATTGATTTTTAATATTTAGAAGCCAAAAAAGTATTAAAACACGATTTATGCATAATAAAATGCATTATTTTTTAAATAAAATGACAACAAAGTATCGGTTACCATACATAACTTGTCCAGCAATGGGTTTACCATAAGTCGTATCTCTCGCCCAAAAAAAAATCGCCAAAATCCGTGCAACCGTCTACCAAAGTAGCACCTAGCTTTTATTCAGATATTATAATAAAATTATCATTTTCTCAATAGTTTAGTGGTTTAATTCCCTTTCATTACCTAAACATTGTGTATGTATGTACTCAACTAGGTTCATCTCTCGCACCAGCGGATTTTCTTAAAATGTCTTTCAGTATCCTCGCTCAACATTTTGAAAAGTATGAAAAATTCAATTTCGGAATAGATTTATTGAATCTGTCATGCTGTATTATCCTCATAAAATCGAAATATAGTAAAGCAGATTATAATTCAGGAATTTTATATGGTTTGGATCGGCAATAAAAGAATTTGTAACAGAATTAATTTTATACACGAATGAAGTGATTCGATGATCATTTGAATCCTCCAATCCCATGAATCTTGAAAATAAATTTAAAGTTTGAATATTCGAAACTTAGCGCCGTTTTAGTTTTCCAAACCTGACGTAGAAACTAATATGGCCAAAGTTTCAAACACAATATTTTGGAATGATGAATTTCGTTGTTTTTCAATAACGGTATTCATTAAAACAAGTATGCGAATTTAGTAATTTCAGCAATACGTAGGTCACCAGTATCATTTCATCGCCACCTAAAATACCACACTGCTTTATTGTCCCTCCAGTTCCATCCAATCCACTATTAAAATTCGTTGGCAGTCCCAAAACACGGTGTACATGATTTTTCGTGAAGAAAGCGGTAACTTTGTTTTCTTGCGTTTAGGGGAATCAAATCCAGTAACTGTCATTTTCGTTTCAGGTGTCTTGTACTATATCCATGTTTCATCACCTGTGACAGTCATTTTTTAAAAAAAATCCTTTGCTTCAGTCGCATAACGCTGCAAAATCTCTAAAGCTGTTCCCATACGTTTCCATTTTTGAACGTACGTTAGTGTTTTCGGTACCCATTCCGAACAAAGTTTTTCGTAATAAGAATGTTCAGTTACAATTCCGTGTAATAAAAACGTCAAATGTTTGAAAATGCATTGACAAATCAGAAATCTTGAATCGCCTGTTGGAACAAAATTTCTCGTCGGTGCATCGCACCAGTTCTTTAGTAATCAATGACGGGCAGCCACTGCGCTACTCGTCATGGACATTTCCCTGCCTTCGTTAAACATCTTAAACCATTTTCGTGCCATACCTTCACTCATCGCATTCTCTCAAGAGTATTCTCTCTCGCATTCTCTCTTTAGTAAGTTTCACTTATCTAAAGATAAATTTCACAAGGTTGAATATTTCTCGCATTCAAAACCTCAATAAAGGCTCTTATTTCAGAGCTAGTGGGCCGATCGACTGTTTTAAACATGATTACCGACAAACAATGATTTCAAACATCACCGTAAACAAACAAAATTGCTGGGATAATTCGTTCTTCAGTTGAACTATGTAACTAGGCATGCGCGACCTTCATGCTGTTAGATGTGTGGGACAAATGCGCAAACGGCTCTTACTTTCTGGATCAGTTTAATATCTATACTTTCGTTATACATATTATGTTACCTTCTTGCACATTTTACTTTCTCTGCAGGAAAAGGTGATTCTATTTACTTATTCAATAAATGTTGAAACAAATCTAGTTTATTTGCTTAAGCAAAAATTTAGAACCAATTTATAAAATTCTTTGTACAATTACAGGAGATATAATTTTTTATCGCTAAGTTTTACATCTAGTGTTAATACAATAATGTAATTCAAAGCAAACGTATTTTATATTTGTTACATGAAATACATAACTCATATCTTTAAGTATAATACCTCAGTATTTAACACAGTTAAAGACCTTTTAAAATAATTTCTGGGTACAATTTTCGCTCCTACTGTTCTCTTTATTCAGGTTTTAAAATAATTATGGGTAAAAATGTATGCCTTTGTTACAGTTTCTTCAAAGTTTTTCTGTCATTTATGTTCGCAAACATAGGTTAACTTCTTCATTCCATATCTCCTCTACAATAAAGTGAAATGCTAAACCCCATTTCTCGTGCACATATATTGCCAGGCAGCTAGCATTTAAGCAATGTATCTTTATCTGTAAACTGAAATGTTTCTTGAGGTTTTACAGGAAAATTAGATGAATGCTTAGTTTTGTTTGTGATATATTTTGACTGATAAATTTTTTCGTTATGTGAAAAATTTGATGTTTATTTTATTTTAAATTGTTATGGAGTCAGAAAGCACAAGAAGTTTAGAAAATTATTCCAGTATCAATACTTACAGCACAGCCTCATAAATAACCACATTTTTTGTAATGCAGATAATAAAAAAGTTATGTATTATGACATGATGTGGATATAACATAACGTGTAGGACATAGTAATATATTGATATATAATCTGCATACAATTTGAACCTGTAAATCAGAGTGTTTCTTTTTAACTATATTTCGAAAACTACTTAACTATATTTTAAACTATATTTTAAAAAGCGACACTTTAAGCTTAGAATCCTTGAATCTTCGTAATATTTGATATCTTTGTCTGTGAGCTGTTATTATCCTAAATTTTCAATGACGGACACTTTATTAGCTAAACATTTATCGGGAATGGACAATTTCATCGGTCATTTGGCAGTCTTATCACCCATAACGTTGACTAAAGGACGACCGAATTACACCCACTAAAAAGAGAAAACAAAGTATTAATTACGATAGAGTTTACGAAGAGAATTACGAAAGAGCTTGTTGCATGTTGCGAATCCGAGTGTCTCACATCTGACTCTTCTTCTTCTACCACAGCGTAATGACAGAACTTTCGGTTCGATTGTAATTTCAGTACCTATATGCTGAAAGTCACTATAACTTTACCAACTTACATGCCTCCTCCAAGATTCGAAACGCGCCTAAGTTTATGGCAGCCTATTGCCCTATGATCATACCTACAAAGCGGTTATTATTCTTCTACAATTAAAAATTTTAAAATCCTAAAATTATAAGTTTTTTCTAAAATTACATATTTTCATTTAAAAGTTTAATAGCTATTCACTCCGTTCCATAACAAATAGATCTTTGATTAATAGTTTTCATTAATGTTAAGATACACTTGTAACATGAAAGATTCATGAGATACGATGAACGTTTCTCAAACTGTCTAGGCTCTCACATACTAAGAATTCATAAATAAATTACTGGATACGTTCTAAAACACTAGAGTGCTTATATATACTTATATGTATATACAAAGCAAAAATTCTTCAAGGCCAGTATAGATTCATCGCAGTCCTTTGAGTGCTTGAAATAGTTGAAAAAAGCATCTTAGATTCAAAAGGCGGACCAAGATGCAATAAAAGTAAATGGAATTTGTTCTGAAGTTTCAAAACAGTCTAGGGTCATGTAAGCGAAGCAAATAAAACCTTTGCGAATAAGAGAAGAAGATGTTCGAAAGGATAGGGATAATAGCTTATAGGTTGTTTTGATGTTTTCTGTAGTGTTTGTTCTTATTCCTCTGATGCGTTCTGGGCGTTTCAGAATGTTTTCTATGTGTCTTTTATTTTGGGAAAGAAAAGAGGAATTCTTTTCTGCAAAAATCAAAATAATTGCAGGTCGTTGGATTAGAAAAGTTTATGTAGTGTTGCAAAGACAAAAAATAAAGTTTGTATGTTACATATGAAAGACTCCAATTTTACGATAGACCAAATTCTTGTAAAAAAATATGTACTAAATCTGTTAATTTTCAGTTCTTGGATAGGCATTTGTGTTCTTAAAGTATATCTAACTGCAAACTGCAGTAAATGAGAGAATTTTAATTTATATGAAATAATGGCTTTCCTCTGCTCATGCTCTTGTGATATTGCAAGTGGTACAACAATCTGGCATTAAAAAGTTGGTGGATTGAATTCCAGTGAAGGAGTAAATCCGTTTTTAACATTGCTAATTTCCAAATACTTATGGCTGCAGTAGCAACCGAAGTAAAAAAAAAAATGTCTCTTAACTCATCATTACGGAATTTACTAGGCGGGCCTCATGTCTCTGCTTTTGCGAGACAGAACTCATTCTCCCCATTGTTATGTCTAAAAATTAATTGTATCACATCATCATTCTCACTTATTTGTTTAAATTTCAATTTCAATTTTAGCATTAATATTATTTGTTTTTAAAAAGTTTCAAGTTTGTATCCCCCCTTTAATATTATTTATCTGTTACTAGCCGCTAAGCGGCCAGCCTTCGTCTGGCTTTTAAATGTACCGTAAAAATACCTAAAGAGAACACCAAACATTAAATTTAAAACCTGCACAGAATTTTACTTTGCAGAACAACTTTATCAAAAAAAAATTTCAATAAAAATATATCACATATTAAAATAATTACGATGAAATACGCAATATCCCTTAATACAAATATTAATTATCCTAATAAATAAATTAACAAACTTCCATTTGCAAAATCTTAAGAATTCAAACGGTATAAAGGAAGTCAAAAACTCTGTTTTCCTAAAACAATCATGCAAAACATTTTATATAATTAAAATATCATAAAAAATTACAATGAAATAAACAATAAATCTTACATTTTCAAGAGAACAGTCAGTAGTCCAGTATCCAAATCAAGGAATGAAAACCTGTTGCCAAAACCACATTTCTAAAAGAATAAAACTATCATCAGAAAGCAATAACCAATCAAAATTATGCTTTGTGGATGACATAATTCAAAATATACAAACCTCTTTGCCATTAGCTAATAAAGAGAGAGAGAGGAAAAAAAGGAAATTCTTCTCGTTGTGCCTCGCGAGACACGCGCTCGTCAAAATAAGAAGATTGCGAAGTGTGTGTTGCGTGTCTAAAAATCAAAAGAAAATAGGCAGCATGAAATAAGCAATATGTCTTAATACAAATATTAATTATTCTAATAAATAAATTAACCAACTTCCCGTTGCCAAAAAAATCGTGCTAAAATTTTTATTATCTTAAAAACAGTGAAAAGTATTTTATCTCATATTTTCAACAGGTCAGCAGTCCAGTATACAAAGCATTGAATGAAAAACTGTTGCCAAAATCACATTTCTAAAAGAATGGAACTATTCAAAATGATGCGATTTCACCAAAAAAGATAAAATAAAAAAAACCTGATTTGAATTTTTAAAAAGGTGCACTGGCTCTTGTCTAGATGCACCTATGTACCAAATTTCGTAGCCGTGGGTCTATTAGTTTATGCGCAAAAAAGCACGAACGAAATACATACACGCAGACATACTCTTTCTTTTACTATATGTAGAGATAAGTTTCGAGACGCATTGTTTAAAAAAATTTTAAATTAATATCTCGAGCTATGGCCTGGGACTAAAATCGTTCAGAAAAAGATAGAAATTTTGCTAGAAAAGGTATACATGAATTTGATTCAAAAAATGGCTCTTAATTCTGTAAGGAGTTATTATTATTATTATTGTGTGCCCAAAGAAGCGTTAGCTCAAAACAGCTGTTAGTCTCCAAACGGTATTTTTATTTTGCGTCGATTCACTACAAGTGATGTATCACTTTTCAAATTGTTGCCACAAATATTATCATACTGCATTATATTAAAAGAAATAAATAATGAAGAATTTGCATGAATGGATGTATATTGCTAGCATTGTGAAAACACAATGGTACCTAAAGTCACCAAATTTTGAATAACATAGTTCTCCATCCAAACATAGGCACCTGGAAGCCCGAACTTGGAATTTGGAACTTGGAACTTGGAATTTGTTGTATTGTTTATTTCATATTTTTTAAATCTTCAATGAATTTTTAATTAAAAATCTCAACAACTTCAAAGCGAGCAATGCCAACACTGTAGTAAATAAAACATTTTTATTTCCAGATTGCGAGACTGTCTATGGAAAATTCTAAAGATGTGCTGTTTTTAAATATTTTTAGTCGAAATGGACGTTAGCCCAAATGCTTTCTAAACGTGTATGTGTGTGTAAATGAAAACTCAAATACCCTTTGGGTGTAATATAAAATCTGAAAACTTTCAGATTGTTTATTTTTGGGACTTTTGTTAAATTTTTGGTCAGGTTTCTAGAGATACTCTTTTGGTTTTGTTATTATTTTGTTAACATTATATTATTCTATATTTATATTATTCTATTCCAAACTATATAAGAATCAGATTTGTAATTTTTCTAATAGCTTGTTGTCTCTGTAATTTCAAGTATGTTTCTGAGTTTATAAATACAATGTATCATTGCATTAGAGATAGAGCAGGTTTTCTAAATTATTTAGTATAAAGAGCTGTAAATTAAAACAGAGAAAATTATGCAGTCTTTAATTAGTTCTGTTGTCTGGCGTATATGCTTCCATTATTATGTAAATGAATGACGTAACACCATGCATTCATAGCATGCATTAGTGTAAGTAATTATCACAACCAACAAGCAATTGAAAGATTCGTAGCTCGAGTTCTGCTCTTTCAAACCCTATCAGTCTGAACATATGCCCGTTGGCATGTAATGATTCCTTGTACAACTAATGGAAACCTAAATTTAACCTTTGTGCTCATTCTAGCTCAGTAACGTGTTAGAGTATTTTATTTAATAGACACATTTAAATCCTTTCCTGCAGATTACGTCCCTTCCGCTTCATTCAGCCATTTCAAAAGTATAAAAATCTATAGCATAACGTAAGAAACTGAGCTGTAAGGTATACGGATAGCCTTCTGATAAATAACTTCATACAAGAGAATAAGGCTCACTTTTAAATCATTAAATCAAGTGATATTATTGATTCTAATGTATATTATTTCTATTTATAATTTTAATACTGATTTTTTTATGACAATGACATCTTCCTCATGTTTTAGGCCTCATATGTACGCCTATTAATCTACTTACTAAAAAAAGAATAACTAGCTTTTTTAACTAGCTTAGTGAAGTTAAATGCAAATTATATTATTAGTTACTTGAATTCGCTTTTCTGTCTAGTGATTATGCTATCGACACTCTCTATTTCAGTCGCTCACTAGACTCACTGAGAGAAAATAAAATGCCCTTCCAGAGGTAAGTCGAATTTAAGATGTATTGATTAAGTTCGACAAAGCATGCTCGAACGTAAATATATTTTATTTAATACTTTAAAAATTGTTCGCTTCTATAACTTGCATTGCAGACACCAATGCTGCTTTTTTGTAGGGAGTCTAAAATACAGAAGCAGTTTAATTTTTTAAGTTCATATGTGGTCTAGCAACAAATTTTAGTTTATGATGTTGATTTCTCCGAGTTTATTTAAAAGTTAAGGTTTGTACTAACCTTTGACTAATCTAGTTTCGTGTTTAACTTATCGTAAATTAGTCTTATTTTTACATAATGAAACTTGGCAACATGAATAACAAACGAGCGCCAAACGATGCATATTGTAGAGAATGGATTCTACCTGTGTGCTAGCTAAATGGAGGTTTTCTGGTGCAGAAGTCTTAAAAAGATTTTGTACTTGCGTGATACTTGTGCTTCATTTCTTATTCAACATATTACTTTCTCCTTTTGGAATATACTACAGCTATTTTATTGCCTAATAGGTAAGACTAGGTATATATAAGACTTATGAATGAGTCTCTTGAAATTTCTTTATTTCAAGACTTCAATTTAAATCTTTGTAAAGACCGAAAGCTTTGATTTCTATTCTATATTTGCGTTTCATTTAAGCAAAGTCTCTAACTTAAAAAATAAAGATTTCACAGTTATTCTAACTTACAATTCTTTTATAAAACTGTGCTGAATAGAGGATAGTGTACTCAAACATCTTAACTGTGTAAAATACATAAACTATCATTTACGAGTGATTAATCTCTAATAGTAAGAAACAACTTTCCATAGACTTCTACTCTAGAATAGGCATTGTAGGTTCATTTTTCCACCTGGCTTGCCTCGTAACCATGATGACGACAGTTGCAGCAGATGACATAGTCCCTTAACTGTCCTTTCTCCACTTTATTTCAATTTATCAAGTTTGGCGTCGTGAAACTCCCACTAATGAAAGCTGAGATGAATTACAATCTCAAATGAGGTGGAGAAAATAACTGCTCTACAATGACAAGTGTTACGTTTGGAAATGGGAAAGGTTCTAAAAGATTTTGAAGTGCCTTTTTTAAAGTAACACATTATAGGAAGCAGAGAAAATGAACAAAATAATTGACGTCAGACTTCATAATACCACAAAAGTTATTACGGAAATTAAAAGTAAGGTGAATCTATAGATAATTAAAATATTTCCGATTGAATGCAGCTTTTGTAAGCTGATGAATACTAATATCATCATTAGTCCTGCAATTAAAAATCCTTCTTGATGAATTTTTCTTATCTTAATCTCATTCTAGGGGTCGGTCTGTTGGGCACGCAGACAGAGGAGCCGACTACTATAGCTCTGAACCCAAGATCGAATCCTGGAAAGAGCATATAAGTATATAAATAACTATACCCTCTTGCTGCTTGGTGAAAATCTGCCGCTTCCTTTTGTACACTCTGGGCAACGCTCTCGGCGATGTGACGGCTATATGGCCGTCTTCTACAGCCGTTCTGGACAAATGTGTCAAATAGCAAGTATATGGCCTTTTTTTAAATATAAAAGCTTTGATGTGGATATCAAATTAAAAGTCGCTTCAGTTAGCCAAATAGTGACCAATTCCTTTCCGTATGTAACTATAGACACTAGTTCTATGAGTTACTGAATCAGTGACCTATGCTGAAAACGGAGGTTCGTTACCTGGTGAAAATTCACTCAACTTTTCCACGAAGTTCTCTACAAAAGATCCTAATGGCTCTACGAACTTATCCCTTTTTCCAATTACATAGTTTTCTGTAAGTAGCCAATACTCCCTGCAAACTATTCTAAATATTTCTGGCTTTTCGTAGTTGAAATCTTATTTTTTAATCACCCAGATAAAATTAAAAGCAGAATCCTGTAGCATTTTCCCTGTGTTTTGTAAATTCAAAGTCTTTTTCGGGTTCCTGTATATTAGCAAAACCTATGGCAGATATTTCATATAACAGAAATAGTTTCAACCAAACTTTCTCAAAGCGTGAATAATCAATCAGATTTAGCTACAAAAATGATTTTGACAGCCAAAGCGAGCCCCTAACTTTAAAGTGAACAATAAAATATTAGTTCTTTATTAATAAATGTAATAAAAAGAAGTTAAAACTTGGGAAGAAGCTTTTCCCTCTAAAACTGATCAATTATATAGTAGGCCTTTATAAGATCGGCTCTTGAAAGCTAATTAATGTTAAGCAGTTAGGCAACAGTTTCATTCTTTTAATTTTTAACAGTAATTTCATCCGGTTCACTGGAATAAATAAAGTTCTTAAAAATTGTAGCGATGAAGCCTTTCCAGTAATAAAACTGACTATTGTTTAAAACTGGTACATTAAAAATACGCAAACATACAACTGATCATTACGCATTTAAAATTTTAAGATATTTTTTTATTAATTAAGATTTGAAACTTTACTAGAACTTCTGTTCTCCGTTAGACGTTATTAGGTTGCAGAGTAAACTTTTGATTAAACTTTTTCTGTAATGGTTTTGAATGATTTAGAGGCAGAGCTTCTGGCGGCTCTATAGCTTTGTTTTCTTCTGCTCAGTTCTGCCCGTTAATATATCGGCTTTAGCCATTTTGCTAGCCAACGTTAAAACACAGCATTAAAATTTTGATTCAGTTTAGTTAGGCAAAATGTATGTAATCTTCGCTGGTAGTGTGATACTTTTAATTTGTAATTTCAACTTTATTATGTTACTACTCGCA